GATTTGCTCAAATATACCTTCTAGTCCTCTCTCTCCACCCCCTCAGGGATCCCAATAATTCTGACATTGGATCATTTCATGGCATCATTGATCTCTCTAATTCTTATCTCATGGGCTTCTAGTTGCTTATTCCTATCCTCCTCATCTTCCTTCCTTTCTATCAGCCTATCTTCTAGATCACTATTTCGTTCTTCTGCCTTATTTACCCTGCCTGTTAGAGTATCCAGTTTAGACTGCATCTCATTCACAGCATTTTTACTTTCGGCCTGATTAGATCTCATTTCTGCCCTTAGAGATTTTATATTGTCACTAATGCTTTTTTCAAGCCTAGCTATTGACTTCATAATTGCTACCCCGAAGTCTACCTCTGACATCTTGCTTCTGTCCATATCCGTTAGATCTGTGGCAGAGGCCATTGTCTCTGGTTCTTTTCTTTGTTGTGAATTCCTCATCCTAGTCATTCTGTTGAGGGATGGTTGAACGAATGTACAGATTCCAAAATATCAACCACGACCCAAGCAAGATGCACCCTTGGAGAATATGGAGCAGTCGGAAGCCACCACTAAAAAGACATAGCCAATATGAAACACAAGAGTAAAACTTATAAAATTAAAAAAAAAATTCCAAAAAGGGTTGAGGGGAAAGGGGGATATAATCTCTCAGTGTGGACAAATTAGGGTTTTTCAGTTGTTCCTGGGTGTATTTCGGTCTGTTTGTTAGAGAATATACTACTTCCCAAAATTACAGGGTAAGTATAACTTGTGTGTCTGTATATATATATACAGACACACACACACATCTACAGGTAATGAATGAATGAATGAATAGGGAAAAAAGGACTACAATGAAGCATATATCTATAAAAAATATAGGTGTGAAAAAGTACAAGTTAAAAGTTACTATGAAATCTAAGTTGGTATATTAAACATCTAGTTGAAATGAGAAAAATGTGAAAAGAAAAAAACAGAGAAGAAGCTAAGGGAAAGAATAAAAAGAAAAAGAGAGTTGTATCTGAAAAATAAACAAGCCGTGAGGCAAAGCCTGGAGCTCAAAATACTATTTTCCCCTGGTGTTGGGATTTTACAGTCTTATGGGGACCATTGGGTTGTCCTCCTCTTGTTCTTCCAGCCTGTCTTCTTGGGAAGAGTCCTGCAGTGCTGTTTCTCAGGCAACCCTGCTTGGGCAGAGTTGCCCTGCCCCCTCTCCAAGAGTGCTTGGCTCAGTGGAAACCGGTTTTTTGAGCTTTTGTTCTCTGGAGGCTTTCTGTACCTCTTCTAAGAGTCAGAGCAAAAATGGCCGCACCCAAACCTCTGTCCCAGAGTGGAGAAATCAAAGTCTGCGCTCTTCACTAAACCCTCCTGGGACACAGTCTCCATTTCTGTATGCACCACTGAAAACTGCAACCTCCTGTGGTGCGTGCCCACAGTGATTCTCTCAGAGGTCGTCCCAGGTGCCTGGTCATGTTCCTGCCCTTTGTGCTTCTAAAACCGTGAGCGACCGTGCAACCCACATCTCCTGGATCCTATCTGGGTCCTGCTTTAAGGCCCTTTCCAGGCCACTAGCGCTCTGTGAGTTTTTTCCTGGTCCCCAGCAGGACGCTTTTGCACTCCAGTGTTATATCACTTTCCGGGAACCAACTTATGGAAGTTCACTCCCCCTTCTGTTTATCTTCCAATAGCTACCTGAAGATTCATGACTCCACCCTTCCTACCTGGTGACAGGCGGTGTTTTTCTGCTTGTAGAGATCCAGATATATATTCTTACATCTCAGGCTGATTTTGTGGTGTTCAGGATGGTGTGGTAGATATCCAGCTAAATTCAGGGGACCCGTTGAAATGGGTTCCCCTACTCCTCTGCCATCTTTCCTCTCCAGTGCTCACTTAATATTTTTAATCATTATTTTATGGCTGTCTTATAAATTTGTCATAATTTTCTGGTTTTTTTTTAATTTTCACTTTTAATGGTAAAATGAATACATGGCCTTAATAACCATTTAAACACATAACAAAATTTAATAAAGTTTAGCATTATTTTCCCTTCTCTATCACTCTTATGCTATGTGAGATAATCAGTATAAGTGTGGTGTGCCTATTTCCATACTTATGTTCATATAAGCATGTATACAGATAAGACTTTTTAAAAACTTTTTTACTTACAAAAATTATACCAAACATATTACTCTGTAACTTGTTTTTTTTAACTTAATTTATCACAAGTAACTCTCCAAGTGAGGAATATAGAATCTAACTATAACTCCTTCTATCAGTCAGGGTTCAACCTGAGAAGCATAACTCATAGGAGATGCATTATTAAGAGATTTATTCTAGGAATTGGCTTATGTGATTACAAAACCTGGCTAAGCAACTCCAGTATCTGTGGAGCAGACAATCAGAATGCAAGATCATGAGCAGGCTCAAACTCATGGGCGTAGTCCAAAGCTGTCATCTATAGGCAGGAAGATCATGAGAAGGATGGGACTCCACATACATGGGCTAAGGCTGAGGCAGAATTTCTTCTCCTTTGTGGGGAGACCTCTACCCTGTTTTTTTAAGTGGTAAAAACACCATGAGCTCGGGCGCCTGGGTGGCTCAGATGGTTAAGCGTCTGCCTTCGGCTCAGGTCATGATCCCAGGGTCCTGGGATCAAGTCCCGCATCGGGCTCTCTGCTCCTTGGGAGCCTGCTTCTCCCTCTGCCTCTCTCTCTGTCTCTCATGAATAAATAAATAAAATCTTTAAAAAAAAACAAAACAAAACAAAAAAAACACCATGAGCTCTATGCTCTTAACATATTTTTAAGTGCATAATATAGCAATATTAATTGTAGGTTCAGTGTTATACAGCAGATCTATAGAACTTATGCATATCTTGCATAAATGGAACTAGAGTCTTGATAGGATTGCTTTGAATTTGTAGATGACCTTCAGCACAATGGATATTTTAACAATATTAAGTCTTCCAGTACAAAAACAAAACAACAACAACAACAACAAAAAGCAACAAAAAACTAAAGACCAATATCCCCAATGAACACACATGAAACAATCTTTGATAAAACAGCAACAAACAGAATTCAGCAGCATAATAAAAGGATCACACACAATGACCAAGTCGGATTTGTCCCTGGGTTACAATGATGGCTTAACATATGCAAATTAATTAATGTGATATAATTAAATTAAATATAGAAATCACATCATCATATCTATAGATGTAGGAAAAATATTTGACATAATTTATCCTTCTTTCCTGATAAAAAAGACTCACAACAAACTCTGTATAGAAGGAATTTACCTGAACATAATAAAAGCCATATATCCAAAGGCCCATGGCTAACATCATACTCAAGGGGGAAAAACTGAAAGCTTTTCCTCTTAGATCAATGACAAAAGGATGCCCATTTTCACCACTTCTATTCGACATAGTAGTGGAAGTCCCAGCCAGAGAAAATTAGGCAAGAAAAAAATAAAAAGCATCTAAATGGGAGAGGAAGAAGTAAAATTATTTCTGTTTGTAGATGACATTATTTTATATATAGAAAACCTTAAAGACTCCTCAGAAAAAACTTCTATATTTAATAAATGAATTCAGTAGAGTTGATGGGTACAAAATCAACGTACAAAAATCAATTGTGTTTCTATACACTAACAATGAACTATCTGAAAAAGAAATTAAGCAAACAGTCCCAATTATAATCATATCAAAATGGATGTGATTATATTTAGGAATAAACTTAACCAAGGAGGTGAAAGACTTGTACACCAAAAACTATAAAACCTTGCTGAAAGAAATTAAAGAACACATAAATAAATAGACTTAATATTGTTAAAATGTCCATTTTACCCAATGCCAGCAATAGATTTAATGTGATCTTATCAAAACTCCAGTGGTATTTTTTTTTTTTACTGAAATAGAAATAACAATCCTAAAATTCATGTGGAACCACAAAAGACCCATCATATAGCTAAAGATATTTGAGAGAGGAGAACAAAGCTGGAGGTATCATGTCAAAATATATTACAAAGCTACATTAATTAAAACACTATGGTACTGGCATAAAGACAGGATATAGACCAATGGAATAGGATAGAGAGCCTAGAAATAAACCCACACATATACAGTCAACATATGTTTGACAGTAGTACCAAGAATGCACAATTGGGAAAGGATGGTTTCTTCAATAAATTGTGCTGGGAAAACTGGATATCCACAGGCAAAAGAATGAAATTGAATTCCTATCTTACACCATAAATGAAAATTAACTCAAAATGTATCAAAGACTTAACTGTATGACCCAAAACTGTGAAACTCCTAGAAGAAAACATAGGGAAAGAGCTTCTTGGCATTGATCTTGGCAATGATTTTTTTGGATATGACACCAGAAGCACAGTCAACAAAGCAAAACTACAGCAAAATAAAATTATTTTGCACAGCAAAGGAACAGAATGAAAAGGCAACCTATGGCATCAGAGAAAATATTTGCAAATGATATATATGATAGGAGGTCAATTTCCAAAATATAGAAGGAACTCTTACAACTCAATAGCAAAATATCAAATAACTTAATTTTAAAAATGGACAAAGGACTTGAATAGACATTTCTGTTACTTTATTACTTTTTGCTATTTGATTTTTTCTTCCTTTTGAAACTTTTCTTTAAAAAATTTTCTTATTATAATCTCTTATCCTTTGACTCATTATTTCCTTGTCTATGTTTTTGCTTTTGGTTGTGAAATATTTTTCCACTTCACACCATACTTTATTCATCCGTTCTTCATTTAACAGCCTCTTAACTCATGTTCTCAATTTTTTTTTTGCCCCTGTATACTATGAAATGCATTGTTATAGCTAAATATTTGTTCAAGTTCTCACCATTTATTTATTTGCTTTTCAAGACTTTTGATATATCTTGCCAAAATTACTCCTTCAGAAAAGTTGTACTAATTTGTACATTTAAGAAAGGTCTATGTTTTTTATAACAGTCATGTATTTTTATGTTATAGGCTTTGAAATTTCTGAAAACCAGAAGAGGCAGGCTGCAATGACTGTGAGAAAAGTCCCTAAACAAAAAGGTAAAGCTGCCTTTAACCACTGCCACCCCAGCAGCCCCACTTACTCTCTTTGTGAGACTGGGAAGCCATAAACCATGTGATTGTATATCCCCAGGCTTGTTTCCAGGCTGAAGTTCACTTGGGGTGATGGGGAGTGTCTGGGTTTCCAGGTGTCCCTGATGACAAGTGGCAAATGGTCTTAAAGACATAAGGCTTAGGAGTAAATAGTGTAAGGTATTTATGTCCAAAAATAGTTCTTTGGGTACAAGAAAAAATAGAATTTCTATTTCTTTTCATTTTTACATAAATAAAAGAGAGAGAAAAACTAAACTTTATTCACAATTTAGAGAGAGATAGACAATAATAATGTAATTTTTATTAATAAGTATATTTGGAATATGTATACAATTTTCTTTCATTTGTTTGGGGACATTTTCAAGGTTAGGAGTCTCAAATCAGAATAGAGAACTTCAGGGCGCCTGGGTGGCTCAGTCAGTTAAGCGACTGCCTTCGGCTCAGGTCATGATCCTGGAGTCCCGGGATCGAGTCCCGCATCGGGCTCCCTGCTCCGCGGGGTGTCTGCTTCTCCCTCTGACCCTACCCCCTCTCATGTACTCGCTCTCTCTCATTCTCTCTCTCAAATAAATAAATAAAATCTTTAAAAAAAAAAAAAGAATAGAGAACTTCAAACTGAACCAAGACAGAAGATTCAGATATTTATTCTCTTTCTCTGAACCATAAACTAAAGTACTTAAAAAAGGAAAATAGGGGTGCCTGGTGGCTCAGTCGGTTGTCTGACTCTTGATTTTGGCTCAGGTCGTGAGATCGAGCCCCGATCGATCACTGGGTGTGGAGCTCCACACTGGGTGTGGGGCTTGCTTAAAATTCTCTCTCCCTCTCCCTCTGCCCCTCCCTTCCCACCCCCTCCCCCGTGTGCCCACACTGACACTCTCTCTCTCTCTCTCTCAAAAAAAAAAAAAGGAAAATACCTTAAGAATCGATTTGATTATGAAATGAAGCTTTATTTTCTCATTTTCGTGAACTAGACATAATTAAAATGCTTAGTTGAACAAAAGGAAGTAACTACCCTTTGTTTATTCATGAGCCTCTTCAGTACCAGTCATTTTATATAAGTTCTTTAATTTTATCTTTATGGTACTTCTGAAAAGGTAGGCATTATTAGCCTCATTTTCCAGATGAGGAAACAAGATCTTTGGGGTGAAGTGATTGTGAACTTAACTCATCTTGATTCTAAGTCCACTGTTCTTCCCTCACCATCTCAGGGTTCTGCTGATTCTCTATGCTGGGAAAGAACAGCTTACTTTTTTTGTCCCACCTCAATTATTGACAGCTGCTTCTATTACTGACCACCACTATCATTTTCCCCAGGCCCTTCCTCCGCTTTCTCAGTAGTCTATTTGGTTCAGAATGAGTCACCATACAAAATGATTAGATTCAAGTTGCCTGAAATTCCAGTGGCCACATAAAGCACCCTTAATTATTCCCAAATGAAGCTCCTTTCCACTGAGGAAGCTGTGTGCCTGTGAATATCTGATCTCCAATTAAACAGTGCACCTAGCTGGGACCCCTCTGGCTGGACATGCCTTCCTTTTAACTGCTTTTGTTTCTTGCCCTTGGGAGGCACTCATTGGCTCTTTCTCTCATCATGGAAATGTAATTATCTTCAGATAGGGAATTAAAGGCAATCACACCTAACCTCTCAGGAGTGAAACATGAGAGATAGTGTTAGAAAGCTATCTGGAGTTAATGTCAGTGAAGATATGGTTTGGATGAGTAGGGCAACCCTGTGAGAGACTGTGCTCCTTCCATAGAGATATAAGCAGAACAGAACCCCAGCCAGTCGGGGAGTCCTCAGGTTATAAAAAAGGCTACTGTCCTAGTGGCTTGCTTGTTTCCTGGAGGCTCTTAATGCTTGAACTTCTCTTACTCTGATCCCCTCCACTGTCCTCACCACACTGACCTTCATGATGGGATAGGACCCCTTTACCTCAGCTTAGGTTCCCTCAAGCCTGAGGCTGGCTGTTCTTTTTTTTCACTATGAACTCTTAAAGCAAAGGAACATCCACAAAGCAATAAACCAGAAAACAGTCCTGCTCACTCATACCAAGCCTTTGTGTCAGTTTCCTTTTCCACCTGTCTAGTCACAAGGCTATTCCTTTCAGGTCCTCTCTTATTCCCCAGTATCTAAACAATGGTTCACATGAACAGCTTTCCACCTTTAACAATTCTAAAGTTTTCAAAGAAACTCATTTAGTTTCAAACCTCCCAAAATTCCTACGCATCCCCTCCATTATTTCTATTTCTAGTTTTCAAGACTCTCCTAGTCCAGGACTGTAATGACTGATATATTTTGAGACTCAAGGTAACTACACATGTGGAAACAATTGTCAAACTTAGGAATTCAATAGTGATATTATGTACATGGGAAGAACAAGAAGGGAATTCTTTCAGATACCCACAAAAGCAAGTTTCTTTAACCCTTCCAATGACCACTTTCTGGAAGTTATGGGAGCATTGTTTTTAAGATTTCTCTAATGCAGATGTAATTGGATAGGAAATTATTCTAGTGTTCTCTTCTAACCCCATCTATAATGCCATAGGACCTTATTAACTCAGTCTACTGCTCTGGAGGAGGGGAAGCCTGTCTGTAAGATAAGCAAAGAGGACAAAGCCTAGCTCCAAGGAAGGCCTTTCTACTTTATGTTTATCTTTTACACTGTCTTAGTTTTAAGAATTGATGTATAACTTATTGGAATTTGAATACTAATTCCTGGTCTATCAACCTATTTCAGTCTGTCATCATGGAGCTCCCTAGGGCCATGAGCAAAGCTCCCATCTCCAGAGGCTATAGGACTATCTCAAAATCAAATGAATATCCTAAAGTAACTAAAATAATCTTGAAAAAGAAGAGTAAAGTTGGGGTACTCAGTCTATCCTGATTTTAACACAAACTATATAGCTACAATAACCAAGATAGTGTGGTATTGGCAGAAGGATAGACATATTGTATTAGTGGAAGAGAATAGAGAAGCCAGAAATAGACCTACACAAATATGCCCAAGTAATTTTTGATAAAGATGCAAAAGAAATTTAGTGGAGGAAGGGTAGTCTTTTCAACAAATGCTGCTTCAGCCATAGACCAAAAATAAACTTCAACCTAAACTCATACCTTACAAAAATGAACTCAGAATGGATAATGGACTTAAATTTAAAGCTACAAAACTTTTTTTAAAAAGGAGAAAATCTTCAGAATCTAGAGCTAGGCAAAGAAGTTCTTAGACTTGACACCAAAAGCTTGAACCATGAAATGAAAAATTGATACAATGGACCTCCTCAAAATAGACATTTTTGCTCTATGAAAGACCATATGAAGAGGATGAAAAGACAAGTTACTGGCTAGGAAAAATATTTGCAAACCATATATCTGAAAAAACACTAGTATCTAGAATATATAAAGAACTCTCAAAACTCAGCAGTAAAAAAAAAAAAATACATACTCCAATTACAAAATGGGCAAAAGATGGATATTTTACTGAAGAGGATTATATAGATGACAGTTAAACACATGAAAAAATGTTCAACATTATTAATCATTGGAGAAATACAAATGAAAACCACAATGAGATATCACTACACACCTATTAAAAAGGCTAAAATAAAAAATAGTGACAACACCGAATGCTGGCAAGGGTGTAGAGGAACTGAATCATTTATACCTTGCTGGTGAGAATACTAAATGGTACAGCCACTCTGGAAAATAGTATGGTGGTTTCTTAGACACAAAACATACCACTACCATATACCCAGCAATTATACTCCTGGGCAGTTGTCCCAGAGAAATGAAAACTTTCACCAAAAAAACCCTCTATATGTTAACTAACTTGAATTTAAATAAAATCTTGGAGAAAAAAAAAAAAACTCTAAACAAATGTTTATAGCAGCTTTGTTCATGATAGCCCAAACTGGAACCATCCCAGATGTCTTTCAATGGGTGAGTAATTATGGTATACCCATACCATGGAATATTACTCATGAATAAAAAGGAGCCAACTATTGGTATATGGAACAACTTGGGTGAATCTCCAAGGAATTATGCTGCATGAGAAAAGCCAATCTCCAAAAGTTATATATGGTATGACTCCATTTATATAACATTCTTGAAATATTATCATTTAGTAATGGTGAACAGATTAGTAGTTGCCAATGGTTAAGGGGGGGTGAGATCAGGAGAGAAGTAAGTGTGGTTATGGAAGAGTAACTAGTGATTTTGTGATATAGAAATGTCCTATCTCTTCTCTGTGTCTTGTAACAATGTTAATATCCTGGTTGTAATTTTGTACTACAGTTTTGCAAAATGTTATCATTGAAGAAACTGAGTAAAGACTACAAAGTATATCTCTGTATTGTTTCTTACAACTGCATGTAAACCTATAATACTCTCAAAATAAAAAGCTTAATTGAGAAATCAAAATGAACACTTCCCAAACTTTCTCCCTAATATTTTCATATCATTTGTTGGCACCCAGTACGCTCATCTTTCTGACACTTACCACCTTTGAAAATTGCCTGTTAAAGGACATCATCAAAATGGCAGAATAATTTTCTACTGTCTTCCCCCTAAAAAAACACTGATTTTGACAGTCACCCACAGATGAGTGTGCTTTTGTGAAAGTTCAAAAGTCCAGCAGAAAAGTTCCAGACTACCCATGGAGAAGAAAACAAACAAACAAACAAACATGATTAGATGCATAGAAAAAAGAGGCAAGTCAATAAAGACTAGAGGAAGTGAGTACTTTTTCAAATGCAAAGACAGCAACTCAAGACTACAAGAAACATGAAAAATTGAGGAAACATGACATCACCAAAGGAACACAATTTTTTAGAAACTGACCCCCAAAGATATGGAGATATACAATTTTTTCCAGTAAACATTTCAAAAATAGTTTTTTAAAGGAAGCTCATTGTGCTACAAGAAAGCATAGAGAGACAATTCAACAAAA